TTGTACCCCAAGAACGAAATAAACTCCCGCCTCGCCAGGGTTACTGGCGGGGGGAAAGTTGAAAAAAAGTATCAAAGACCTACAAAACACGGAGGTCCGCGCAACGTATAGAGGAAGTCATTTACTATATACAGGATTGAGATTTACCCACTTTTTCCTTATCAGGGCCCTGTAATACGAGTTTTCTGTTGAAAATTCGCCATTAACGATTACAATACTTCCACTTCTTAGAAAGTAAGAGCGATAAATCATAAGTGAACAACGAATATGATGGTCAATAAGATAAGTTACCAATTCTGCGTTTTATGTCGACAGATTTCGGTATTTTTAATTACAACATGCTGATTGTGCATCTACAATCTACATTCTAGGTACACTATCATAATATATTCTTTCTTTCCCTTTCTACATATCATACAGAATCAGCTTCAGTCTACATTATCGCGATGTTCTCAGAATTAGTGAACAGTTTTTATTCTTATTCTCTTGAAATATTTTGCCTTCCCTTTTGAGTTGTCATTGTTGTTGTTTCAAGGACTATTTTATTACGACTATGAATTGACTGAGTGTTTGTTCACATTAAAACTGCTCTTTATGATATTCTGTTTCTTCTAATAGATATATCGCGCGCTTTAGAAAACCTTTTAAACCTTTTTGTTAAACATTGTTGTTCCATTTTTATCTGATGTTCGTAAAGAGAATCTTCTGAAGAAGGTTATTGATTATCATTTTGCTCAATGTTATTAAAACTAGTTTGGCTTGTCAGTTCAAACACCTAGAGCATGAGATGACGCACAATATCACGTTCTACTTTGCATCTTTCTGTTAAAGTAAAATAAAAACATAAAATAATGCTTACCTGTCTCCTAAAATGGTCCTGTTCAACCAAGGCAATCTTCTGTGATTCAATTTCGTAAATTCATCTAAATATAAGGAACATCAGTGGTGGCTTTTTAGTTGACGCTAAAACTTGAAATCGCTTAAACTAGTAATTCTCATCGTTTCAACCTCTCGTGTAGTAATAGTCGTTTCCTCCTCTCGGGTAGTAAGGCACAGTGCAATATCCACAAGAAGTTTTTTAATTCAGCGGTACGATTTGAGGGGAGTAATTCCTCCTGTAGATTGCCATCTATTGTGAGCTATTAGAATTTATATAACATTCGGCGCTGCTGGGAGCCCACACGCGCATTAATCATAGGCCAGGACGAAGGAACAGGCACGTTGTAATAGGGTGTTTTTGTACGCCTTAGCGGGCAGCAATCGACTGTAATCTCGATCTTCTTCGCATGCGCAGATGCACACAAGTGATGCAAAACTTGATCTGCGCATGCGCCGAAGATCGATAGTGCTGACGATTGCTTTAACGTTTGATGATGCAAAACTCCTTAATATTATTTCACACCCGTAGCAACACTGTGGGTTGGCGGAAACGTAGGTAAAAGGGTAAATCGAACCGATACGAGAGTAACAATAACAAAAAGGCGTTTTTGCCAAACTTTCGGGTACTACCGATGCAAATGTTGGCTGCCAAACACCCGAATTTTAAGAAAATTAAGTAGATACTGCTGATTTTCAAAAAAACACAGTGTTTGCTTGGAAAATTGGAGTATAATTTCCAGCTTAACGAAGACCAAAAAATTCTGCTTTCTTTTAAATAACAGGAGAGCTCACCAAACCATCAAAATAAAATTCAAAGAACATTTAATTCTATACCACCTACTTCTCAAGTACCTCAGTGTTCTTGAGAGGACACTTTTATTCAAGAAACATCAGTCTGGGTAACCACCTAAAAACTGAAAAGAAGAAACAATATTCTTTACAACTTATACCTTTGAAATCTGCGTGTGAACAACGCCTGCGCCTAACCAATTCTCAGGGTTTTCTTCAAAACGAATATTCCCCGATTGAGGGTGGAATTCTTAAGGATCTTCGAATTTGAAATATATCATTCAAGTACATACTTTTGAGCTATTAGTACATACTTTACATGAAGCTTTTAGAACATTTTTAAAGTTTTCTCAAAATTTGCTCAATTTTTTAAAACTTCTTTGCTCAAATAGAGTACACATATGTGTGAGTATTTCGTCTTTCTGCGCGTCAACTACTATGATGACTATGACGATTAGTTCCGTGAGTGTACAGCATGTTATAGCCGGGAACTGGTGATGTTATTCACCCACTGAAACGTGAGATTCGGTGCCAACCTGATTGTCAGTTTGCGGGGATTTCCCCTCCGGGGTCCCCCAGCGGAACTCCGTTTCAGACGGGATGAAATCTGCTTCCGACTAAACTCCTGACTGGTTTCCCGAAATACGTGGTGTGTGTGTAAATGTGCGTGTGTGTAGTAAGAGAAGGGGACGCGGATGAGGCAGTGAAGACCGCAAGAAATCTACGGTCCGTTTGTTAGGGTACTGCTCCGGCATTCGCTTGCTATTGATCGAAATAGTGGTTCTCAGTACGCAAACCTTTGCACAATGAAGTATGATTATTAAGACGTCTTCTTGCGTATTCTGTCCCTGCGATAGTGAAATTTCTGAGACAGATTGAGAGACAGATTCAGGGAGAGACAGAGAAAGACGGAGACGCGGAGAGGGAAACAAACAGAAACAGAGAGCCAGAGAAAGAGTGACGGGGAGAGTGACGGAAAGACAGAGAGAGAGAGAGAGAGAGAGAGAGAGAGAAATGTCGCTGTTCCATAATGCAACACCTGAATAGCTAATATTTAATTGCGGGGGCCTCTTCCTTGATGCCTTGCTGACGCATGTCATGACTTTACTTGTGTCATAAGCTGTGACACACTGAGTATGAGAATTCAATCGGTACGCGCAGCAAAGACGGAATAAGTCAATCAAATAGAGGAATAGGCGGAATAACTCAATCAATAATTTGCATATTTTCAGTCCAAATCTGAACTGTTTCCTTGTTTTTGAGTGTTTCCCAATTGCCTGAATATCTAACGAAACCATAGTCATTTTTCACGTGACCAGAGGCTGAATAATTTTCTTTCAATTTCTGAGTCCATTGGAAATGAGTAATACAGATTTCATCATTTTTACTTTTTACAGTTTTGGAGCATACAAGAAAATATTTTGATAATTTCGGTAGAGAGAGATGATAGCGAAAGGCAAAAAGAGCGGATGATTTTGGCCATCTGAAAATTCCGTAGTAAACTGCATGTGTATACCCGTTGGCCTTGCACAATTTCTGGTAGTCCACGGGAGTCATTGACAGTGTTCAAGGTTTTGCGGCTTTTGGTTTTGCGCTAAAACTGTGAACGGTCGCACAATTAATTTCTAATCCTCTCCCCTTTCTTCTTTGTTCAGTTACAAAAGGCCACCATAGTCAGTAGTTAATTATCGAAAATTAAGTTGTCGGGTGGTGAAAAAGAAATCAGATGTCCTTATTGTTGTGAACGAAGGAATGTATCTTTCTAATTTACATATCTAATATTGAACTTTAATTATTATACAATATTAATTATTAACACAAATAAAATTAATACAAATGTTTTTTCTGTATATGATTTTGTTTTGCTTTGTATAGAACGGGAAGTTGGCACAAGAGTTTTGTAATTACGAAACGGGTTAAATCTGGCGTTACGAATGGGTATGAATGGGTTAGAGGAGGGAGGAGATATCAAAAATATTCCAACATTGCGTTACGTAATTAATGGACGGCCAATTATTACTACAATGGATCAGTCATAAATTACGCAAGTAACGAAAATTATGAGTATTTTGAATACCCCTCTCCCCTCTGTAGCACACCCGTAACACGCGCTTGAACCCTCCTTAATAATTACGTAACGCTTGCGATACCCCCTCTTTGTAAATACAAGAAATAAAAATAAATTATAGCACAGAAAAAAAACATTTGTATGCATTTTACATGGGTTTTATATTAAAATTACTGATAATAAAAACAGAAATTAATTGGTGATGCTACCGCACCTAACAGTAAGATTGGGGGTATGTTTTCAGTGAAGAAAAGATGCATAGGAGAGAAAATGTTCGATCACAAGCTGAGAACACGCCGTCGTGAATGACGAATGAGCGAGTCTACTGTGCAAATTTAAATGGATTCTAGAGAATACTATATATCATATTTTTATTTTTTTCGTAATCTTACAGCTTCAATAAAAAATTGATGAAAAATATTTCCATTTATTATAACAAGTTGCAGCTAATAACTTTATGTTTTTAAAACAAATTAATTAGTTAATATTTAATGTTTTATTATAAGACTAAAAAAGGAAATTATTTCAGAAAATGTTGAAAACAGTAAAATAATCAATGTTACGTAAATAAAACGTATACCCCTATGTAACGCAGCGTAAATCTGCACCAAACCCCTTTCCCCCTCTTTAGCGTTGCGCAAGTTATGGACGTCCCTTATGGATCTAAAAGTCATGCGAGGGATCATGACGGGGCCTTCAGAAGCTTGTGTCACCATTACAATGAATGTTGTGGCAAACTGAATAAAGACATTTTTAATTCGCTGGATCATTTGAATGCCGTTCTTGGCGGGACAATTGATGCTTGACATGTCCTGCGCTCTAGCGGCTACTGCTGAACTCGAATCAGCTGTTTAAATACCTACATTTGAAAACAGGCATTTCAGTTTGTGACATGACAAGAGCCGGTGTGGTTGAGTTCTGTTGATCTCGGATTGGACATGACATTCGTTGATGAATCCGTGAAGTGTAGAGGGCGTCAGTAAAGTGATTTTTTTTAAACATATTGTAGTCTAAATTTGATCGAGAAGTGATTTTGTGTATTTGACAGTTAAGCCTCTGTGGCTACGAATTAAAAGGAAGTTGGAGTGCTTTTCACTGCAGTAATCGTGAGCATGGCACACGATTTGTGTGTCGCTGAAGATATGGCTTGTATACAGACTATTGAAACTCACAAGAATGATGTCACATCTGTGGATTTTGGAATTGATGCAATGTTGGCTAGTGGATCAGGGTGAGACATCTTCTATTACATTGTTTTTAACACAGCTGGGTGTCATCTGGTTTTTATGTCATTATTCAGCACTTTATTTTAATTTCAATGTTTTTTGTGAACAAAATTAAAAATGTGAGTTAACATATTTTTATTATTTAAAAATGACCACGGCCATCTATGAGAGAAATGCGATTGAAGCAATGAGCAGCATGATGAAACCTGAATAATATTAATTCCCAAACATTCATATTATCATCCATATTGTAATAGTTTAGTGGTAACATTCATTCTTTGTAATGCCAATCTCTGGAATAAATCTTACATGTTTTAAAAACATGTATTTACTATGTCATCGAAATTAAGCATGTATACTTTAATAACTCATATACTTGAACACTCTTTGTTTGTTTGTTTTTTTCACATAATATTGCACTAAATTAATATTTTAATGATGTTATTTATTTCTTATACTAATATTCTTTAAGAAACTGTATGATTTATTAATGAATACTATTTTTCTGTTAGGTTTACAATTTGAGCATGTGGACATTAGTGCGCATTTAAAAAAATCATTTGTGGGAGAGTAAATTAATTCATAGGATTATATAAAGATTTGATGGGGCATTCCCCGTTTCCTAAAAAGATGTTCTTTGAGATATGGTGAACAGGCAATAATTCTGCGTGAACTTGCCAATACTGTTTTCACTTTGATCTTGACACCTTAGACTTAATTTCATGTAAGTTAAAAATAGCAAGGCCTATAAAAAAATAATAAATAAAAATAACAACAACAAACATTTATCTAATTGTATTTTTTCATTTAATCAAATAAAAATTCCATGAAGGTTTTACTTTTCAATTTTTGTTGAAGAGTTGTATCAGGAGATCAGAATTATTTGTTAGGTTTGTTGAATGCTGAATTTACATGTAAGCTATATGGGCTATAGATTTGTACCCTACACTCTTGGGGCCCCCCCCCCCCTCCCCCAAATATGTCGAAGAAAAATCTGAAATTACATTTAGAAAATATAATATAAAAAACCAATAAGAGTTTAATATGGCCTTAGTATTTTGATATGTAAACACCTGTTAATCTGCTCTTGAAAATAATCGTAATTTCTCTTATAAATAATAATAATGATAAAAAAGAAAAAATAACTGCTCTAAATTACTGTGGGGAATGCAATATGCTTTGTTTCTACTCCAATAATGCAGCATTACGTTTCTTTGCTAGATTTCTAAAATTAGAACACCTAAGCAGACTCGCATCTTTCTTAAGAAATATTTCAATATCATTCTCCTCTATTTTCCAGTCTTCTCCACATAGGTGCAAAACACGAGATATTTTGTTTTGCAAGTTGTGAATAACGTTTGATCTCGTTTGAGCATCTTTAGTTCTTTTCAGATATTTTCCACGATAGTGAAGTTGACAGTTGTTTACAGTTAATTTCATCACTTGCTAGGTTATAAAGGAATATATGGATGGGTGAAAATCAGAACGGTATAAGGGACATTTTGTAAATTATGAGAAAACTTGTTTATTTTAGGCCATATTTTAGTGGAAATGTATTTTCATGGTTTAAATGAACAATTGAAACGCCATGGTTCTAATGATGAAACAATGCACCACGACTTTACTGTAATATTGATTTAAATAGATTTCTCAGAATTCATAAAATGTCACTTATACTGTTCTGGTTTTGACCCATTTATATTTACTTTACATTCCTGTAAGAACTTCAGGTGCTCATGTGGATATACTCGCTATTTATAAATAGTTATGATGTTACGGTAATTAAAGTTTCCAAGTTGCCAGTGAGAAAAAAAATGGTTTCTTTCATTTGTCTGATTTTTCTAAATTAGAGAGCATTGAAACCAAATTGGAGGAGTTAAACTTAATTATTAGTTAATTACAAACATAATTTTTTATATCGTGATATATATAAACACTTTAAATACTTATTTCATCCATATATTACCATATTCATTTATCCAACTTAGAAGACATTGAGAATTTGTCCCAAATAAAGACAGCTGGCATCACTACAAGCAAAGGCTTGTACAAAGAACTGTACATTTAGTTTGTTTGAGTGTGTAAATATTCATTGAAATGTTAAATCTTCTTCCATTAGCCATTCCTCTTTTTATGGGTCTTGGCTTTCAGGGCAACATTGTTATCTTTTTTCCTCTCTATTACAGTCACTCTCCAACCAGAGATCCTTGCGTACATCCATCAGCAGAGTTCTTGGTTTTCCTTTCTTTCATCGACCTGTTACGGTCCATTCCATAATTTTCTTTGAGATCCTGCTTATATGCATTCTTTTTGTATGGCCTATCCATTTTATTCGCTGGGCTTTAATGAATTGTATTATGTCCTCATTGTTTATTAGATTCTCAATTTGTTTGTTGGTTCTTATTCTCCATATCCTTGGAGATATTTGGATTGGCCCATATATGTTACCTCTCAAATATCGTGAACTGGTTGCTAATTTTTTCATTGGTACTTCTTCTTTTTCACAGACTTCTAAGGCATAAATTACAATTGGATTTTTTAGGATCTTAGAAATTCTCATCTTTATACCTCTTGTTATTAGCTTTGATCTTAACAGTTTTAAATTAGCATAATAGGCTTTGTGACCTAATCTACTGAATGTAATGTATTAATTTCAACTTTGATTTAATTTTTTTCATTTAATATAGTCCGAAGTAATTGAAGTTTTTCTATTTCTGAAGCTTGTAATTGTCTATCAATACTTGTTATATACTCGTCAAAGGAAATCTAGAAAGATGCATTTACTTGGTTTTTTGTTCAGTAGTTTAAATAATTCTTACAGAGCTTTCTTGCTTTTCTAATTTTGACAATGCCAACTGCAAAGGCACTAAGCTGACACAGTTTAAAGGTTATATCACCTCATAGGTCCAATTTCCTGATTATGGTTTCTTGAATTAGGTTAAATAGAGTTGCAGATTGTGGATCACTTTGCCTTACCCCCACTGAAATTTCAAAGGTATCCAACAGGCTTTCTACTTTAATTCTAGCAGTTGTATATTGTAGGGTCATCTTAATCAATTTAATTAACTTATGTGGTATTCTGGAAACATTTAAAAATTCCAGTAAAATAAATGTTGTATTCTGTTGTAATTCAAGCAACAAGTATAAATTGTAGAATTGTTTCCAAAAAAAAGTATTCCTAACAATTTTATTAATTATAATCAGGATTCTGATATGTTTGATAACTCCTAGTTAAAGTTACAGGACCAAATTATTTCATACTAAACTATCACTACTCTACTACAGGAACCACACCGGAAAAATAATACTATCTTATGACCTGGGCTCAAATTTTGATGACCTACAAATAAGGGGAAAATGACATAACTTTTGAAAAATACTCAAAAATGTGTATGGATATGTTTATTTATTCAATGAATTTTACTCTTTTCAATAAGATTTAGTTATATAAAAAATATTTAATGTAAAACTTTATTTTTGGAGGAAATGTAATCTTTAGCTTTGATTATCAGACTGTCCAATTACCTAACAGTTTTGAAAGGTCATGGAAATTACCAAAGATATATGTAATTCTGAGAGTTTGAAAAACAGAGTCCACTGCAGTAGTAAATTTCTTCATGAACTGATAATACAATCAAAGATTTGTTTTAGTTTGTCATTGTAAATTCATGAAATATTCACTAACAAAAACACAAAAAGGAAACAAAATGTGTATGTTTGAGTAGCTATACATTCTTGTCACCTATATGTTGTGATAAACATTCATTTACAAGTTAGCTTTGTCTAGAATACACCAATGAAAAGATGACATGTCATCAGAACCCAAGCCCTAGTTATGACAGTCTTGTTGATATTTCCTCTACCAAAATGGATGAAGCATTACCACATGTTAACTAACATATTGAACTGAGTTTGCAATTAATGAACATTAGAGACATACTGTTATCCACTAAAATATGAAACATCTTGTGTTTATAGCATTTGAAAGGAAATAAACATAAAATGTGAGCATAGAAAAGATGGTAAAGAAATTTTGCAACAAAACGCAATTACAGCTGTTCTGATATTGCTATAATTATAAATTAAGTTTAGCTACATTTTTTCTCACAAAAGCAGTTTTCATTGAATTAAAAGTTAATAAATGACATTTCAATGATTTGTTGTTTGGGACAACTTTTATTCGTTGATAATTCAGCGCAATATCTCTAATTTTGAATAAATTTTTATGCCTATTGATTAATATTCAGTGTTCTTCATGGTTTCCATGTGAATATTACATTGTTTTGTTTTCTTTTTTCTGTTTTCCTTTGAACATATCTTCAGAAGTTAATGAAGTTCGCAAGTCAACAATTGTAACATTGTTCATTTCTCAATATATGTATTACCTTGGCTTCTTCCCTATGTAGGTGCTAGATCATTAAATTAGTGGAGAAGCAAGGAAGAACAGGTGTTGCCTTTACCCACATTTTATGAGAAGCTTTTGATGTGTTTGCTATCATTGTTAGATCTCCCAGGATTGTCAGATTTCTACTATGTAGCTTATGCCCTCAGCTCCTTATCAATAGATCAGTACTGAGAAACTGTTAAATATTGAGTAATTTTTAAAAACTGTCAGAATCTTTTTTGTAATACCTATATTTTATACATAATACACATTTTTTGAGATCTACATATAGTGGCATTTCCCATGGGAACCGTGGCCCATTCTAATCCAATATTTTCTGTAATTTTACCTGATTTGCTTTATTGTCATTAAAAACAGTAAAACGCTGGATGTAACATGCAGAAGAAGTGTAATCTGCGAACATTTTCTTGGTCTGCATAATCCCTCCCACACCCTTATATATTTGAGTGATGAATAAAAGTACTATTTAAGTAAGGTAAGCATCTTTTCAAAATTAGAGATTTTTTCTCCCCAATTATAGAAAATATATTTGCATAGGTAGTTGCATTGCAGAATTAATAACGAGTATTGCTAACGAAATAGCAATCTACACCCCCACCACTTCTCCTAACAGAACTAGGAGAAAACAGCTCAACAAAATGTGCACATAGTTATGCTACATTTATGTCCAGAAACAAAACAAGGGGCTATCTCATCATTTGCTCAAGGTATCAGGGAAATTGGACTAAAATGTGATCGAATTGTGTAAAGCATTTACTCAAATAATTACCACATATTAATTTCATCACATTCCAAATGAGTATTCCTATTAAGCCTTAGCAGACAGTATTTAAAGAAAAAAATCCACATTCTAACATGTCATTTTTCGTTAATTGTTTTCATTATTTCAGAAATAATATTTAGAAAGAGTAAACTGAATCCCTGCTCTCCTGAAATTCTTTCTGACTTTCTCTCTTCACATACCATTTTCATTGTATTACTGAAGTTTTTGTTCCACTTCTTTAAAATAAAAGTAATAAAAGTAGTGATTTGCAACATTGCTAGAAAATATCAGCATTAATTTCTTGTTTTTTCTTGTTCTGCATAGAGATGGCATGGCACGTCTTTGGACCTGGGTCTCCGAGGACAATTGCTATATCGAAGCTGATTGTTCTCCTCTAATTGGACACAAATATGGAGTAAATTCTGTTTGTTTCTCCCCTCAAGGCACAATGCTTTTGACTGGTTGTGGGGATGGCAGTAGCATAGTATGGAATGTAAAGGTAAGTGTGAAGTACTTTCCATTTTGTCTTTTGGTGTTGGTGTTGTGTGTAACATTTCCAAAATCGTGTTTATATATTTTCCATTGGTCAAATATTTTGCAGGGTGATAGTGACTATTACAATAAACTTTAAGTAAATACATTCAATTGCTACTACAGAATGTTGAATGAAGTGATTCCAGCTCATTTAATTCCTCCATTTCAATACTGTGGAAATTCCTATCAATATTAGTAATGGCGTAAGTGCTTCATACGTTTTTCTAATATTGATGTTATAATATGAATCCAGTAACATGAATTTTTATTTTTATGCAGGATTTAGAGGAGTTACCCATCTTATAATCCATTCTGTACAAGCTTCATACTGCAAAAATATTCAGATCTTGTAATACACACTATCAGGTGAAATTCACCCGACCCTTAATTATATAAAGACAAGTTTATTTTTTTCCTTATAACGGTTCCTATTATTAATTATTATTATTATTATTGTTGTTGTTGTTTTGTTGTTATTATTATTGTTGTTGTTGTTTTCATTACCATTCTTTTTTATTGGATCAGGATTTTTTTTAATTGGCTCTTCAAAATATGACTTAGACCATTAGGTACAAAGTTATAAAAGCTCAGAACTATAACATCACATTTCTTTGATATAACTTAACATGACATTTAGTGTTGGGTGCCCCTACAGTTCCCAACTTCAAGAATTCTTCATCGTCTCTGGTATTATGGAGAGGAAATCAATCTAGTACAATGTAATATAATTAATATAATAATAATAATAATAATAATAATAATAATAATAATAATAATAATAATAATCTACATAATAATAAATACAATAAAGTATATAAGTACTAATAAAGAAATATGGTTTTAGATTTTACAAAAAATAGTGGCCTGCTTATATCAATGTTTGTGGTAATAAGCATAGTTAGTCAAATTGACTGGGTGCAGAATTTTGTGTTATCTTCTTTCTCTTTTCTGTTGCATTTTGTATTTATCCCATCATTCACCTACTCATCTCTACATTAATTAAACAAAACTAGCTGAACCCATAAGCACATTTTGTGCGACCAGCCTCTGAAATATGTGTTAGCATTTGTGCATCCGAGACTGTGCGTTATTTGCTTCTGCTTGTTTCTGACTACCCTTGCTACAGAATGTGTGTATCCTGATGAGCTACATATTCACAAAACTAGTAAGCTTATGAAACTCCGACCAGTATGGCTGAGGTGGGTAGACCGTGTGCCGACTCAGCGCCGCCTCCGGAATTCCCAAATGTTTAGTACATGTTCGCCGCATGTTAAACATGAAATTAAGTTGGTAAATTTCCGATATATTTTTAATTTTATTTTAGAAATGATATATAAAACCTTAATGCGTCGGATAGTGCACTAGCTCTCCTATTGAATGAAATTCTGAATAGCGGAATTTCAAGAATGTACGTATCACCGTAGAACAGGCATGTCAAGGCCGCGGGCAAGGTAACAAGCTTATTAGCTCTCGCGGGGCACTGCGTCTAGAGAAATTAGCGGGAGATTTAAAACGAAGGGTTGTACAAATTCCTTCGGAGTGGCGGTACGTCACTGAATACCCGGCCCATGACAGGCTTTGGGAGAAGTTACTTCACAGTTATCATCATAGCTATATTAATTCCCATTTTCTGTTTGAGGCGAAGAAATGATCCATTAAAATAAAATAATACATCAGTCCGATTGCAAATTCTCAATTGAAAGGAGAATTTAAACAAAAATTAAATGAAAAGAATCTTGATTTAGTAATATTGTTTACTTAGGAGCGATACAAGAGCATGAACTTTCTACGTTCAGGTTAGAAGGTTTAAGAGACAAATATTCTTGTCTGTTAAATGCGCCGTTCGTAAGCTAGAATTGTTAACTTATAGTGACATATTAATTTATTTCACATTATTACTAAATACAATAAATAACTAAATTATTTAACAACACAACATAACACAAAACGAAAAAGGCTAGAATTCGCCACATGAAAATATTCCTGTCACTTGGCAAAGATGTTTATATAAAGGAGAATTTGGTAAGATAATATTCTCGCAACCTCCAAAAATTGACACTTTAAATCATTATTTACAACGAAAAAATTGCTTTAAATTGGAATCAAATTTCAAACGTTTCGTCCCAGTACTACGGAGTGAAGAAACCTGTCAACAATGTAATAGAACTCACAAAAAGGTCTCATTTTGTAAATTACAGAATAAGAACCCCTGTCCAAGAAACCCGAGTAATGTTTTTTGTGTTCCTTTAGGCCAACCCAATCATAAGGATCTAGGTTGCATCGTTTCCGAGTTATGCAAAATGTTTTAGTGTGTTGCGGCGTATTGTGTTGTGGGTTGCATATATGCGTTTGCATTTCCCCAACGCCTTTACCTGTGAACTATTTTTTTCGTTCTAAATATTTATGATTTAGTATTGAGTGTTAATTTGCACTCCAAAAGTACAAAAGCTACAAAACCGTCGACTTTCCTCAGTGAGCTATGTGTAGGTGAGATATGGCCTAAGGTCTATCATTATTTTACCTCTAAAACGATGTCCCAACCCAATTGCCAAGCGGGCAAACCGGTGAAGATCGGGCCTGCGATAAGAGATTAGCTGTACCGTCACTAGCCTCGAGTTTCTCTGATAAGATAACCTTCGGACACCGGAAATTGGGTGCGCAAAGTAAAAAAAGTCTTAAATATCCCGTTGTGTACCTCACACGTATCTGAAGTTCCTGGACATACGTTTACACTCTATCCACTCCAAACACAGAAGTAAAAATAGTTCGATTTTTCGCGAAATCAGTGCTGTGGAGTGTAAAATTTGTGCTACAGAATGGCACAGACTTTCCCGAATTAGTTTTCTATTTCCTTTGGTCTCGGCTAGATACTTGGACTTGCCACGTGCTATTGTCATCTGCCATTTATTGGGATATTTTCTTCATTTTTCGGTTTCCTAAATTGTAATAATTGTAAGCGGAAATATCAAAGGCTTGAGAGATCTTACAAAAACATGTGTAATTTAAAAAAATACACCGAAATGAACTTTACGCCATATTAAAGATGCATAAAGATAAAGAATGCAACCAGCACTATCCGTTCGAAATGTTTGAAGAAAAAATATTGAGCTGTTTTGAGAAAATGGTGTTTGAGCGCGTTTGGAAATGCGGAGCTTTGAGCTATTTTTGTCTGAAAACTGTTGAGATTTCAAGAATCTTTGACATTATTTAAAGCAAAGATATTCATAAAAACAATAATGTGAACAAATTGCCGCCAGTATAAATATTAACGACATGAGAAACAAGTCAAAAAATTACATGTTTGTATTTTTTGAAGAAAAAAAAGAATAGAAAAGGGCGTTGATGTCATCTTATAGAGTGCATTTAGCACTCTCCTTACCAAAAGTTTAAAGAAAAAATTTGGAGCAATTTTTGAGAAAATTTTGTTTTCGTAATTTTTTTGAATTGCACGAAAACTCCTAAAATTTTCAAAACAAAAAATACACGATTTTATTGAAAAGCTTGCTATGGAGAACAAATTTTATTTGAGGGGAAAATCTCTCTCTTCAATTCTGTAGTTGTAGACATAAAAAATCATCCTTTTGAAATTTACAAAAATTCAGAGTTAACGGTGAAACTCTGACGTACGCCACGTTTATAAGTGTATACTTACTCTACATTTTTTGAGAAAATTTGGAAAATGTCCGAAGGGCTTCATGTAAAGTATCCCCAAATTGGTTGTTAAAAATCATCGCATAATCGATACTTCATACTCTGTATTCACAAATCCATTTTCTAAGAAAAGGGTTCCCCTTGGCAAACTCTGCTTTCGCATTTCAGCAAAGAACGTGGAAAGATATCCTAGAGTCCACGTTCACACGCTACGTAAGCTCCCCGCATGATGTAAAACCCTTTCCAGGTCACCTGATTTCCTTCCTTCCACGCGGTGCTCGCGCGTCGCGCCTCTTGCGACACCAAAACAACAGCCTGAAGGGCAAACGGACGCTACTCGATGTCCCTGAAGTGTCGTTATTCGCTCGATATTTCGTGCATTCTAGATCACGAGAGCAGATGGTCGGCCTTTATCTGTCTCAATGACGATTTGAACTTTATTTAGACTTGTTATCGAAAGACAATTGCGTGCACGCGACGTATTCGCCGATTGAAACCTGCAACTTGCCCGATATACCACATGGACTTGAACGGTAATTAAAGTGATGTTGTCGTCGGGGTGAATGAGCTAAATTCGTGTAATGATGACAATGTCGACATTTATTCATCGAATTTGTATAATATTTATGTATGGAGAAGGGAGATACGATTATGATAACCTTGATATACTTGAAAGAAAGAAAGTCCTTTAAGAGCAGTTGTCGAAAAATTATAAGGCAATTCATAGTTACTTAGAACTCGTTGACAGAAACAAATTCGCTATTTTCGTTCGGGAATTTCCGCACAGTTCGTTGCTTCATAAATACAAAATAGGTTTTTTTGGCTCGTGATCTCTAAGGCATGTGCACACTAGCGAGCTCGGATCGAAGGGTCGCGTAGGTATATTTGTACTTTCTCACTACCGCTTACGCAATAGAGAAAACGTTTTGTAATGCTGCGCGATGAAACTGAGAATTTTCGGCAGAGAGACTCTTATTACAAGTCCCTGGTAACGAAAAAGGGGATAAATACAGTTGCTAAATTTAGAAAAAAAAGTTCTAACACGTGTTCTATCCATGTTTTGTGGGTCTTCGATATCGAAATATTGAATGACGGCAAAACTGCCCGTGAGTCCATTCGTGAACCGTGAACCGTCCATCCGTGAACAACTCTAGTGGCATGGTGGAAATAATCACTATGTTATTTTCACCATGGCTGGCGGCTAAACCGTTCTGCCGATTTTCTCCAAAATTGATATTCTTAAATCGACTTCGCTGATGTCGCGACATATTGAATTTTAAACCGATATTTTAATTCTGTGGGTACTTTACATAAAGCCCTTTGTTTGTTACTAACACTGTTGTGAAAATTGCAAAAATTAAAAAAAAATTAATCGTGTTCCTACTGCTACAATTATGAAAAAAAGATTTTTCCCCTTATAATA